GTAAGGATTTTCTTAAAAATGTTTAAAAACTTTTTTCTCATTTTAAAAGTAATTTTGAATCAATATAGAAAATTTAGAAATTAGAAAAATACAAAGAAAATAAAAGCTCATAGTAATTTCATTACTCAGAGGTAATTTGCTGTTGATAACTTTTAGAAAAATTTTTAATATTTCCCCACATATGTTCCCCACCAAAATATTTTGAAGCAGATCTTAGACATCATATCAGTTCATGCATAAACACATCATTGTATATTTCTATGATACAAGAATGGGAAAAAAATACAGTACTTTATAAAATAATTTTTAATATCTTCTAATATACAGTAAGTATTCAAACTTCTTGATTGTCTCAGAATCAGTTTTATTAGAATTCAGGATTTTTGATAATATATCGATGTATTCCAGTTTTTATTTGTATGTGTAAATATGTATAATATTACTAACAGTGAGCAGTTACCTAGTACTATATACTTATGGGGGGATAAACCAGAAACCAGTTGCCGTGGAGCTAACTCATTGGAACCCCATGTATAAAGGAGTATTAAAGCACTTTGCAAATAACTCATTTAGCAATCATTGAGATAGGAAATTTTTGTTTTATATGTGAAATGTGGTTTTCATTTCACATGTAAAATCCTTATTTTGAATATAAATGTAAAATCTTTATTTCACATGTAAAATATGAAATCTTCATTTTACATGCAAAATGTAAAATCTTTATTTTGTAGATGAAGAAACTGAAGTACAGTGAGCTTAAATAACTAGACCAAGTTCCCTGTCTGAAAAGATCTCAACTACAGATTTGGGGTCATAGATGTAGTATATTTAAATTAGATCTTGCTTTTTGTTTATTTGTTTTGTTTAACATTTTCTTACGTCAGTAAATATTCTTTGATAATATAGTTTCACTGCACATAACAACAGCAACAACAGTGGTGGTATAATACTTTATCCTTTGTGTTATAATTTGTTAAACTCTTTCTCTTATTGGGAGCTCTGCTGGCATAGTGCCTAAGGCATTTGACTGCTAACCGGAAGGCTGGTGGTTCAAATCCACCAGCCGCTCCTTGGAAGGAAGATTGGGCAGTCTACTTCCGTAGTGATAAATGTTTTGGAAACCCAAGGAGGGGTTGCTATGAGTCGGATCTGACTCGATGACAGTGAGTTTTTTTTTTTCCTTACTATTATTAGACATTTAGATTTTTTCCAGCTTTTTTGTCTATAAAATAATGTGATAAATATCCTTAGTCATAAGAATAATGCCAGGTACAAAGTAAATCCTATGAAATTTGTTACATGAATTAATGAATGAATCTTTGGTTATTTCCTTGTAGTAAATTCTTACACATTGAATTACTGAATCAAAAGTTAGGAATATTTAGAGGATTCTTGATAATTATTGCTAAATTATATACCAGACAGACACATTAAATGAATTTACTTTCTCATCAGCATTTATAAGAGTACATCTCTGTCTGTTTTCATTGATCAGATCAACACAGCAGAATAAGTTTATGTACATACCATAAAAGAATTGTTTTATACCATATAAAAAATATCTAATGATAAAAAAGAGAATAGAAATCTCCATAATTTCAAAAACCTGAACATACTCTCAAAGCTCTTTATCTAAAAAAAGAGGATGACTGAAGCATCTGCATACAGATGAGGATTGTCTTAGGCTGGATATTCAAGAGAAGCAAAACCAGGGAGGTTTATATATATATATATATAAAGAGATTTATTTTAGGGAAATGGATCACATGTTTGTAGAAGTTGGCAAGTCCTAAGTTCTTGGGTCAGACATCAGGCTGGAAGCTTCTCTTCACTCACTGGCTTCAGGGGCCAGTGAACCCAAGATGGGTAGGTCAGACATAGTCTGTTACCTCATGGTTTGCAGAAGCTGACTAATGCAAGATTGGCAGGTAAAATGGAAGGTTGCTAGTTCAAGTCCTATGAACCAGAGGTCAGATGATTAGAGCTAGATGCAGCATCCAGAGTGAGCAAAAAGCTAGAGAGCTTTTGTAGAACATCCATATATATCTAATGCAGGTCACTCCCCAAGGAAATTCCCTTTCAACTGATTGACTGCTCAGAGCAGATCTTGTCATGGAGGTAATTACATTATATCACATCTCATCATGGGTGATGACTATATCATTACATAACTGCCAAACTATATATAACTGCCAAACTGGAGAATCATGGCCCAGCTAAGTTGATACACCACCTTAACCATCACAAGAATGATTTCTGTATTATCATCCTAAATGAAATAATTTTGATATTCACATTCCTAAGCATATATGTATCTTTCCACTGATTTGGGTACTTCATGTACAAAGCTGTTATTGTACATAAGCAGTTAAAAGAAGTTATAACTCCTTCACTGCTCTTTCTTAAATACCAGAATTTTATGATTCAGAAAGTTAGGGAGAAGTGGCTTATCGTGAGAGTATTGGTGAATACAGGTAATTCTGAATTTATGAGTCACTTCTCAGATTTGTTTGGAAATGCAGATGGTATTGGGTTTTCAGACTAGTTCACACAAAACTTTTTGTATTGAAAAATAGCAAAAATAATTTTAACAGTAGAAGCCTTTATGGATTTCTGATTTGAATATATATATGAAAATGTTACTACGTAATTTTTAGGAGCTTGGATGGTGCAAGTTGTTTGCGATTGGCTGCTGAAAGCTGGTTTGAACCCACCTGGCATCTCTGCAGAGGAAAGATCGGGCAAACTCCTTCTCTTTTCTCTTCCTGTGTTTGTTCCCATCCCTATGGGAACTGCTATAGTTTAAATTTCATTTCATAATGGAGATCATGATGGGGACTAAGACACGTACTATCATTCCTGATTGTGTGCTGGAGGAAGATAAGAAAGGCATTTTGTGTTACCTTTGGGATTTAGGGTACTTTTTCATTGGGGGATGTGACAGAGAAAGATGTCCTGCTGTCGTAATTCAACAGACCTTGTCCTTAGAAATATTATTTTAAGTGATAGGTAAGTTTTTGAGGGGTGGCCTGAGAATTTAACTTGTATTTATACAATAATTTCTAAAGGAGAATGTGATGGAGAGTATGCTGTGAAGGGGATATTCAGGCATACCTTGGAGATATCATGGGTTCAGCAATACAGTGAATATCACAATAAAAAAATTCACACGAACCTTTTGGTTTCTCAGTGCATATGAAAGTTATACTTACACTTTAGTCTATTACGGAGCTCTGGGGGCGTAGTGCTTAAGGCATTTGACTGCTAACCAGAAGGCTGCTGGTTCAAACCTACCAGCCACTCCTTGGAAGAAAGGTTGGGCGATCTATTTCCATAGCGATACCGCCTCAGAAGCTCAAGGAGGGGTCGCTATGAGTTGGATCCGGCTTGATGGCAGTGCAGTTTTTTTTTTTTTTTTAATAGTCTATTAAGTGTACAATGGCAGTATGAAAAAGTTTGAAATATTGTGAAGAAGTTTGAAATGTTGTGAAACTCCCAAAATGACATGAAGTGAGCACATGTCATTGTAAAAATGATGCCAATCGACATTCTCTATGCAGGGTTGCTAAAACCTTCAATTTGTAAAAATCCTCCAATATCTGCAAAGCACAATAAAATGAGGTATGCCTGTATGTCATACAATTGCCCATTTAAAGTATACAATCCAGTGGTTTTTAGTATATTCACAAAAGTTGTGCAATTATCACCACAATCAATTTTAGAAGATTTTTCTCATTTTAAAAAAAGAAACCTTGATCAGGGATGGGAGAGAAGAGAGGGAAAATTGCTAGATGGGTAAGAGACAAGTATTGATTTGGGTGAAGGGAAAGGCAGTATACCAAAAGTGAGTGACCAACACAATGACACTAAGGAAAATGAAGAGACAGAGGTATACAAGAGGTATAGACAACAAAGATAAAGACTTTTACATATACAATACTGCATTAGCAGTAATAACAAATGTTAATTGACAAGAAGATACATAGGTAGACAGGCTGAATGATCAAATATGGCTAGGCAAAAGGGAATATACCCATGGCCGTATATAAGCTTGGCAGACGATATTTTTACATGTGTATTTGTATCTGCTATAAGAATGTCCAAGGAGCTCTGGTGGTGCAGTGCATAAGGCATTTGACTGCTAACCAGAAGGCTGGCAGTTCAAGCCCAACAACCACTCTGCAGAAGGAAAACTGGGCAATCTACTTCTGTTAAGATTTACCACCTCAGAAACCCAGTGGACGTTACTATGAGTCGGAATCGACTCTATGGCAGTGAGTGTTTTTTTTTAATTAAATAAGAAAGTGCATATATATAGTAGAGCTAATGGAGCAAAGTGATGATAACTTTTTAGCCACAGCCAGCTACCTGGAGGGAGTGAGTTGTTGGACCTGTGGGCTCAGGACCATGGTCATGGGGGACATCAAGCTCAATTGGGATAACGTACAACACAAAATCATTGTTCTACACCCCATTTTGGTGAGTAACAACTGGGGTCTTCAAAGCTTACAAGTGTCCATCTAGAAGCCACAATAGGTCTCTCTTCATCCAGAGCAAAGAAGAATGAAGAAAACCAAAGACACATGGAAACAATTAGTCCAAGGGAGTAGTGGACCATGAGAACCTCAGCCTACATGACCCTGAGACCAGAAGAACCAGATGGTGCCCAGCTGCCACTGTCAACCACTTGGAAAGGGATCAGTGCAGCAGATCCTGTGTAGAGTGGGAGAAAAATGAACAAAAGTAAAAATTATTAAAATAAAAAAAGACCACGCTTACTGGTCTGATAGAGACTGGTGAAACCCCTGAGACCATGGCTCCTAGTCACCCTTTGGGTCTTGAATTGAACTCACTCCTGTGGCTTCCAGCCAAACAATAGATAGGCATATAAGGTTAACATTTACATCAGGTAGGTACACTCCTTAGAACAATCATGCGAGATCAGAAGGGCAGCATTTGCACAGGGAGACAGCTTAGAGGGCAGGAATAGGAAAGAAGGACAGAGGGAAGAGGTAACCACAGGGAGGAAATGGGAAGAGAGCTATCACATTATGGGGGTTGCAGTCAATTGTCATGAAACAAAATGTTTATGAATTGTTGTATGGAAAATGAATTTGCTTTGTAAACTTTCACCCAAGTCACAATAAAAAGAAAAAAAAAAAAAAATGGAAAAAAGACCTGCAGAGGACAGGAAAAAAAGAAACCTTGTGCCCATTAGCATTCTACTCTACATTTTTCTCCTGCCCCTCTAGTCCTAGAGAACCATTAATCTATTTTCTGACTATATAGATTTGTCCATTCTGGACATTTTCTGTGAATGTTACTGTACAATATTTTGTGTTTTTTTGTGACTGACTGCTTTCAAGTAATGTTTTCTTAGTTCATGAATGTTGTGGCATATGTCAGTACTTCATTCCTTTTTATTGCCAAAAAATATTCCATTGTATATCTGTACCACATTTTATTTATACATTCATCATTTGGTGGACATTTGGGTTGTTTCTACTTTTTGGCTATTATGAATAATGCTTCTATGAACATTTTTGTATGAGTTTTTGTGTGGACGTATGTTTTAATTTTTCTTGGTTATATACCTAGGAATAGAATTGCTAGGTCATATGGTAGTGTATGTTTAACATTTTGAGGAACTGCCAAACTGTTTCCAAAGGTGCAGTACCACTTTACATTCCCACCAGCAGTGTAAGTACCAGTTTCTCCACATTCTTACCAACATATGTTATTGTCTGTCTTATTACAGCCATCCTAGTTATATCACTTAACTGCTAACCGGACGGCTGGCGGTTCAAACCCACCAGCCACTCCTTGGAAGGAAGATTGGGCAATCTACTTCTGTAGTAATACTGCCTTGGAAACCCAAGGAGGGGTTGCTGTGAGTCGGGTCCGACTCGATGGCACATAACAACAGCAACATCAAAAGTTACATCTTGTGTCTTTGATTTGTGATTCTCTGATGGCTAATAATGTTGACCATCTTTTCATGTGGTTATTAACCATTATATAAATCATATAAGTGTGTGTGTGTGTGTGTGAACATTTACATGACAAACCCAAGGAAACCCAAGGGGGGAGGTCACTGTGAGTCAGAATCAGCTAGATGGCAGTGAGTTTTTTTTTTTTATGTGTGTGTGTATGTATATGTACACACATATATGTACATATATAATCTTAGGAAAAATGGCTGTTTACATTCTTTTCCCCATTTTAATTTGCTTACTATTATTGAATCATAAGAATTCTCTATGTATTCTGGATTTAAGTCCCTTATGAAATGTATATTATTTGCAAATATTTTCTTGTGTTCTGTGGGTGGTTTTTTTTCTTTTTTCTTTTTCTAATTTTTAAGAACTTCATTTGTTTTATATTTAGGTAAATCACACTGAAATTCCAATGTTTGATTCTTGCTCAAGTTAGTAATTTACCTGTACTATAAACATTCCGAGGTGATCTGGTGGTAAAGTGGTTAAAGTGCTTAGCTGCTAAACAAAAGGTTGGCATTTTGAACCCACCAGCTGCTGTGGGTAAGAAAGATGTGGCAATCTGCCTTCATTAGGATTTACAGCCTTGGAAACCCTGTGGGGAAGTTCAACTCTGCCCCTGTAGGGTTGCTGTGAGTTGGAATCAACTTGACAGCAATGGGTTAGGGCTTGTTTTGGTATAAGCGTTAACACTTTGGATACCATTATTCTAGAACGATTACTCCAGCAACAACATGAGATTAGATTGGAGAAGGAAAAAGACTGTATAAGAAACTGTTGTAGTAATCCAGGAGAACAGGGGAAAATTTTTTTTTTTTTTTAATTTTATTTTGATTTGGGTGAAAATTTACAGAGTAAATTCACTTTTCATACAGCAGTTCACATATACTTTGTCTCATGTCATTGACCAAAATTTACAATACAACAGCTCCCCTTCTACTTCCTCCCCATAGTTACCTCTTCCCAGTGTCCATCCCTCCATACTCTTCTGCGCCCTGAGCTGTCTCCCTGTGCATAAGCAGCCCTTCCTTCTCCCATAATTGTTCTCTCCAGGGTGTGTGTCTACTTGAGGTAAATGTTTAACTCACTTGCCTGTACTTTGTTTGGCTGTAAACCACAGGTGTGGGTTCAATTCCAGACCTGAAGGGCAGCTAGGGGCCATAGTCTCAGTGGTTACACCAGGCTCTATTGGACCAGCAAACCTGATCCCCACCTTCTTTTTTTTTTTTGCCTCCAAATGATTTTGAGTTTTGTTCCACATTGTTCTCCCTCTCTATGCAGGATCTCGTACATCCCTTCCAAGTGGATGACAGTGGTAGCCGGGCACCATCTAGTTCTTCTGGTCTCATAGTTGTACAGGTTGCAGATCAGATGGTGTACCAGTCGCTAGGACTGATTGTTTCCATTCATTTGGTTTTCTTCTTTCTTCTTGACGAGGAGATACCCATTGCATCTAGATGGCAACTTGCTAGCTTTTAAGATCCCAGTCGCTACTCGCCAAGGTAGGAGGTGGAACAATGTTTTGTATAGTATGTTATGCCAATTGAGCTTGATGTCCCCTGCGACTATGGTCCCAAGCCCGCAGGATCAACAACTCGGTCGCTCTGGGTAGCTGGCTGTGACCAAGCAATGACCATAACCTTGCCCCTTGTCAGCTCTACTATACACCTGGGAATTCTGATCACTCACATAAACTTATAGGACCATTGTCTGCCAACCCTATATATGATCTTGGATACACTCCCCATTTAGACATACCTAATTGTTTAGCCTGTCCACCTATCTATCCGTCCATACACCCCTAGAACAGGGGAAAATTTTAACTAATATTTAGAAAGTATGTAGGGTTTTGTGATCGCCTGATACGGGGGATGAAGAAGAGAAAGGAGTCAGAAGTGCAGATTTCTAGTTTTGGAGCCTGAGTGAATTCACAGAGATGGAGGATACTGGTGGGGAAACTAAGGAAATAGTGTAAAGGATTCTCAGCTGTCATTTCTAGGAATAGATACTCAGGACAAGAGGGAAGAAGGTGAATTTGGGACAGTAGCTCTAACATGATAAATTTGAGTGACATGCCATCTAATTTTGCAGTGGATTAGAGGCAGCATTGCTGTATCCTACTAAAGCCAAAGCAGGTGAAGCTTCTTTTTGGTAATCCTCTCCTCTGTCTTGTTTTTTTTTTCTTTTGAGATGAGTTTTACTAGTTTAAGAATAATGAATGTTCAATCGATGAAGTATAGTGAAATTAGAGTTTGATATTACTGTTAAGACTATGCTAACTCTCTCTATTGCTACAATTTAGTATAAAAGGATATAGATTTTAGGTTTTTACTCATTCTCAAAAATCCTTAAGGATTTTGTTTTATATAATCAAGAGTTTATTTTTATACTCTTAAAACAATTTATTAGTAAAGTTTTTGGAGTAGGCAATAGATTCACATGGTTCGAAATTCAAAAGGAACAAAATTGTAAGCAGTCAAGTCTTCCTCCCATTTCTATCCCTAAGCCACTCACTTCCGCTCACCAGAAGCAACCAATAAAACAGTTTCTGGTATTTGCATTGTTCTGCACTTTGACTTTTTCAGTTAGCAATGTATCTTGAAGAGCACTCTCCCTTTTTGTTTATTTTACCTTTGTAGATTTTGTCATGTCATGAATTTTCTATTGTACGGATATATCATAATTTATTTAACTGTTAACTCTTGACAAACATTTAGTTTGTTTTTGAATATTTGATACTATAGACTGCTGCTCTGACTATCCTTGTATATAAATTTTAGTGCATATGTGAGAATACTTCTCAGGTGTAAATTTCTAGACGTGGAACTGCTGGGTCAGAAGGCATTCGTATTAAAAGAAAATAATAATGGATTGTCTTTGCTCACAAAATAAAGTCTCTCTCAGTATTACCTTTTCAATGAGGCCTACCTTGACCACTCTGTTAGTACTATAATCTGCCCCTACCTTTCTCTTGAATGCTCTATCCATCTTATTGTAGCTCTTTTTCTAACCTGGAATACATTTATACTGTTTTTGTTTTTTTATCTTTCTTCCTCTGCTTAAAATGTCAATTCCAGGAAACAGGAATGTTTATTTTGTTCGCTGATAGAATGGTACGGGGTGCTTGGTAGACATTTAGTAAATATTTACTGAGTGAACTGAATGAATGAAAGAATAATGTCAAAAATTACCTTCTCTATAATGCACAGTGTCTTTACCCACTTATTTTAGATTTTATTTGGTAATGTTGTATATATTGTTTTTTTTTTGTTGTTGTTATGTGCCATCGAGTCAGACCTGACCCCTACTTGGGTGTCCAAGGCAGTATCACTACGGAAGTAGATTGCCCCATCTTCCTTCCGAATATATTGTTTTAAGAGTTCTTTAATCTATTCTAGTACAAGTTGGGATATAAACAGTTAAATATTGAAAATAGTCATAATGTGTGTTCTTTTAAAAAACTAAACTCCAAAAAACCAAAACCAAAACCAAAAAACTATCCTTCTCTTCAAGTTTCCCACAAATAGTACAGAGCCCTATTGAAATAGAAGGAGATGCAGGAAGAATATATGAGGCACTGCTGTAACACCTCTTCCATAGGATTGAAATCAATCTGGAGATTATTATATGATACCAGGTGAGCTGTCTCAATTTAATAGACTGAGGTGTTTTTCTGTGTTTTAAAACATCTCTAAACCCTATGTAAATTTATATACAACAGGTACAGTCTTGAAAAAATGATTGTAACTAAACTGTCAGTGAATTAGTTTTTTCCTTATTTATCCTCATAATTTTAGAGGCCTGATATTAATTATCATTGTTCTTCAGATTGGTAGTTACTTCTATTACATATTTAAGTATAAACAAGTAATTAAGTTTATAAATGAGACCCAGATATTTAATGGGAGCTCTGGTGGCATAGTGCCTAAGGCATGTGACTGCTAACCAGAAGGCTGGTGGTTCAAAACCCCAGCCACTCCTCGGAAGAAAGGTTGGGCAATTTACTTCTGTAGTAAAGCTACCTGGGAAACCCAAGGAGGAGTTGCTATGAGTTGGATCTGACTCGATTGCAGTGAGTTTGGTTTTTGGAGATATTTAACAGAGTTTTGGAATGGATTTCTTTGTAAGATAAAGAATATAAAAGAAACATTCCTATCTCTGTCTGTTTTAATTTACTTCTTTCACATCTGTATTTTTATATTTTACACATTTTTTTTTTTAGGATAAGTTGAATCAGAATTATGTTAGACTCTAAAACTGCCATGCACCCCTGTTATAAAATTTCCCTCAATGAATCTGTTTCAGAAATAATCTACCAAACTTTGTTATTAAGTAATTTTTTTTCCTACTTTCATTTAGGACATACAAAGCTGTCAACAGGTACTTTTCATCAACTAAGATAAATTATGTTTCTACATCAAATTCAATTAATTCTAGCAAAAGCGAAGTATTTGCTATTTTAGTTACTGCAGACTTGAAAATAAACATATGGGTTTTCTTTAGGTTTCTTAAATATTAGAAAATTTGCCAAAGATAATATATCAGTTGGAACCCTAGAAACCCCAGGCCACAGATTGTGACCCTTGGACTAGATGACGTCTTTCATTTGTCCTCTAACTTGGAATGTTTTTATTCTTATGCCAACTTATAAGGTCATTAGGTATATTATTTTTTCACAGTAGTCTATGTGATATAGAAGGAGTTGACATGCAAACTTTGGAAGACATCTTTTATTTATATAATTGAATTTAAATTGTGGGTACAACTAAAATATTCTGCAATATTTTTGAACCCTGTTTCCAAGAATAGTAAGCATCAACTTTGTAGATCTTTTACAGAAGAGCTAATTAGTAGCAGTTTGAATATGATGGCAGTTTTTTTCTCCTATATGGTTGTCTTATAGGATGGGTCATGTTTGGACTTTGGGCTCAAACTAGAGAGCTTGACCAGAAACTAAGTTCTGGGTCAATTACCCATCTTTTGTTTAGAAAATGAGATCAGTAATGTCATATCTCTATGTCATTTACCCTTGCTTACACTGGTTTGTCAGCCATGTACGAATGGGAGCTGAAGGAACTGTTTTTGTTGTTTGTTGCCTATGAGTGGGAGGAACTATAGTGGAACCAATAGTCTTTCCTTAAACTTTGTACTAGTGGTTCAATTGCTCCTTGTTTCTCTGAGCATATTTTTCTTTTTTTTAAAAAAGGCACTCTGTTCTACATTAGAGTGTAGTCATTGCTACTGCTTTGAGAAGATTTTTAAGGGTAAATACATATTAATGCAAAGTTAATGCTGGGAGTGTACTAGGCTCTTGACATATAGTGAATTAGATCTAATTCCTCTGCCTCCATTGATGCTTATTACTGACTAGCTGTAATAGGGACAAATGAGCAAACAGTTAAAACACAGTTCAGTTAAGTCCTGAGATAGGCCTATGCACTGAGTTGTGAGAATTTTTTTTTTTAATTGTGATTTGGTGAAAGTTTACAGAGCACATTAACTTTCCATACAGCAGTTCACACACATGTTATCTCATGACAGACTACAGTTTACCCCAGTGCAACAGCTCCCCTCCCACTTCCTCCCGATAGTTACCTCTTCCCTGTGTCCATCCCTCCATGCACTCCTGCCCCCTGAGCTGTCTCTCTGTGCATAAACAGCCCTTCTTTCTCCCATGATTGTTCTTTCCAAGGAGTGTATCTACTTCAGGTAAATGTTCATCTCATATGCCTGTCTTTTGTTTGGCTGGAAGCTGAAGGGCAGC